AGAGGTGGGGAGAGACTCTGCTAAGTTCTCCTTCGCTCCTTTATAGTGACTCCAAAGTCAGGCAAGTTGCATGGGACAGTTAAAACAACACCACAGGAGCACAGAACCAGTACAGTTTCCCAGACTCCAAGCAGACAGGCAGAAGAAAGTCTAAAACAGCAACAGGCAGGAATGTAGGTATTAATGGGTTTTCCCTTCCTTCCTTCTTTCCTTCCTTCCTTCCTTCTTTCCTTTCCTTCCTCCTTCCCCTTTCCTTCCTCCTTCCCCTTTCCTTCTTCCTTTTTCCCTCTCTTTTCCTCCTTTCCATAACTTTAGCTTGGTTTCCATTCCAGGGACTGAGCAACATCTTCAGGTTTGTAAATTTCCTTACAAAAACAAAAATTGAAGTTTTCAATGATCACACAATATTGTAATTTCCACCTACGTAATTGACATGAGCCGAACTTTAAAAATAAAGGTTATCGGAAATCTTCAAATTTTTGGGGTCCTGAGTACAAATACAACAATCAACACAAAATGACAGATCCCCAGTCTCACTGGAAGGGGAAAGGCAATTAAGTAGACAGTATGTGAGAGTCCTAAGGCAGAGGTCCTGAAGAATGGAGAAAAGTAGGGACCATACCTACCATATGCATGCTCTTTTAGCTTATCTTTGACATGGCCTGAAATCTAAGAATCCTTTCTTCTTGAACTGTGAACTTGGTGCAAGCAAAGAAATGGATTTTCATCCACCAAAAGCAGTCAATCAATAAGAGATACCTATTACTGTCTTCTACTTTGCAAAAAAAAAAAAAAACAAAAAAACAGAAACACCGGTTTAGGTAAACATAACTAACTACCTTCATTTCTAAAGATAAGGGCACAGGCTTAGGAAAGAAACTTGCTCGGCCATCACACAATTGAAGCATAATAGAATCTAGGTTTGTCTCCTTTAAAGCCAATATTTTGCCTACCAAAGAATCATCCTCTAAAACACGCCATCTTAGCTCGGCAACTACAGTAAGTTCCAACTACAGTGTTCCCAGATCACCTGGGATTACTATGAATAGTGAAAGTTAGGAAGAGCAACAAGCAGAACAGCTGTCCAGACACTGCATTAACGGCTGCCAGCAACACATCCTGTAGAAATTCAATTCACACGATGCTCTCCATTCAAGTAACCAGTCTACCTTTGACAACAGCCAGCCCTAATTGTTCTTCCCAGCTCAAAGTCACCAAGAGGATTTCCAAGAAAACTTGTCAGGACTACAGTATCTAATCACTATAACACTAAAAATGAAGGGGAATTTGTTCCAACCCGAAAGTGAGATTTATCAAGTCAAAATAGCCGTTTTCTCTGCAGCCTGGAGACAGCAATGATTCTACAGTTGTCCAAATAGATATTGTTACTTAAAATTCTCTACAAGAAATCTAATGAGATAATCTAGGGCCAACAGCCCAGCACACAGAGAAAAGGTAGAAAATTAAAAATCACTATTAATACCATCGGTGTTAATCTCACACCAGACTCTCACCAAGTCTGTTCATTGATTAGCTGACAGAACAATCAAGTGGTCAAATCTGGATATATAGGATAAATGAAATATTCACATACACACAAACACATGGCTCTCCTTTGTGTCATGGGTCAGTATGGATTTCCATTCACAGATATGTGCAGGGATCAAGTCAACATTGCTCATCTTTATAGGTCTCCTAGTGGGAGAGTCCCTGCAGTGCCTATCAGTTTCTCACTAAATATTAATGGAATTAAATTTGCAGAAATTCTTTCACAAGCATTCCTAGATTTAAGATTCAGAAGTGCTCCTTTTGGAACAGGGAATGACTTTTTTTTTTTTTTTACTATAGAATTTAACAGGTTTTTTTGGTTTTGTTTTGTTTGGTCAGTTGTGGGGCCTGAACTCTGTCCCTCAGCTCTTTAGCTCAAGGCTAGCACTCTACCACTTGAGCCACAGCGCCATTTCCGGCTTTTTCTGCTTATGTGGTGCTAAGGAATCACACCCAGGGCCTCACGCATGCAGGCAAGCGCTCTACCACTGAGCCACCTTCCCAGCCTCAACAGGTTTTTGTTTTGTTTTGTTTTGCTTTCCCTCCAGGTAAATAATGACTGAACAAACTACATCAATACAGAAGTTTCTCCAAACAACCAAGACTTACAAATGAGAAAAGAGGCAAGAAAGCCAGTTTTGGAATCAGGTTAGTGCAGGAGATTCAAATGGCTAGTCCACCACTTTACGGTTTTATAAATACTAACTTGAGTCACACACACTGAGTTTCAATTGCCACATCAGGAAAATGGAGGTAATTACTCCTACTTCTATTAGATTGTCATAAACCTAATTCGTGGGCATGAGCAATACTAAGCACAGCTGATAGGGAGTGGTTTTTATTTAAATCTCTGGTAAGCCTTTTCCCCTCTCATAAATGGCAAAAAATTTTGAAAAAGCAGGATTGAAGACAGCAGTTATGTTGAGGCAAATTTATTGTTACTATTAGTAGGGCCAATGTGAGTTTTAAGAAGGACTCCATCAAGGGCCTTCAGCGGTCCAAGCAAAAGTGACCAGACCAGGCTCTCTTCTTCAGGGAGCCTGTTCTTCCTCTCAGCCTACTTAAAATTACTGAGTTGAGACGTGCCATGTCAAGAGCTGTGACACAATATTTATCACAATGCAGCATGCAGGCAAGAGATTTTCTTTGAAAGTCCAAATCCAAATCAAAGCACTAAATTTTAGTGCTGTACAGAGGGAAGACTGATGTTGAAATATGTAAAACAAAATAAAATTAAAGGCCCAAGAGATAGCTCAGTGGTAAAGAAACTGTAGAGCATGAACAAGACTGTAGGCTTGATCTCTAGCAACAAAACCAAACAAAGAGCTTAGACTTTAAAAGACAGCTAAGAATTAAAAACCACATACAAGCTTTGTGTTTAAAACAGTAATAATATATACAACAAATGGATAATTAATATACAGTTCCATTAATATACAGTTGCTTTCCATTCAAAAGTAGAGCAAAACATGGTTAAGGATTAGATCATTCTACTCTGTTAAGTGCGTACATTCAACCAGAGGGCAGTGGAACTATTCGGTTAATAAAATTCTCTACATACTTCTAAAGACAACATTGCTCCATTCACTGAAGTAGGTCTTATGAAGGCAGTTTCTACTGTTTTCTCTTAGATATAAACTTTCATCTGAAGAGATGAGTAAAGGAACTTTTGAGGCTTTTTTCTTTCATACTTTCCCACACTGGCCCCGCCTTCCAAGAATTAACCACACTATGATTAAAATGAATTGAATGGTACACTCTACTGGTCAATTGCTTTTAACTCAATGCAGTAAAAGAATCTTGCACTTTAGGATCTCATTAACAACTACAATTCTCCTGCTTAAATTTCCAGCTCTAAAAAAAAGGCATTAGACCATTAAAAATCAACTGTAACATTTCAAGTAATCATTGCAGATACTCATTTACTACAATGTAAATATCCATTCTACAGCACCAAGAAGAATGCATGCAACGTTGTTTACTATCTAAACAACACTTTTTCAGAAAAGTGTTGCTTTTCTAAGATAAACATATACTACACTGGGACCTCACTGGAACAATTCCTGTATTCTAAAACATGTAACTGAGCAGTATCTGAACGTCCTCTCCAACTATGCTACTGAATTTCTAGAACAATATATTTTAAAGAAAGTAATTTAAATCAATAATCAATGCTACTGAGAATGTCTGACAATAAGTAAAATGACCAACACCGAAACACATGAAATTTTCTTCCTAGCTTTCAGCCCTATTTAAAGACTGTAAACTTAAGTAAGAAGATTATCGAGGTCAGTAAGGTCACCTATACTATCAATACCCCTCTCATTTTCTTTTTTTTTTGGGTCCGGTCATGGGGCCTGAACTCTCGGCCTGGGCGCTGTCCCTCAGCTCTTCAGCTCAAGGCTAGCACTCTACCACTTGAGCCACAGCACCACTTCCGGCTTTTTTTCTTTTCGCTTATGTGGTGCTGAGGAATCGAACCCAGGGCCTCATGCATGCAAGGCAAGCACTCTACCACTGAGCCACCTTCCCAGCCCCCCCCTCTCATTTTCTATTCCTTGGCTTTCTTTAAACAGGGCAGTCTCAACAGGAGGCCAAGAACATAATATCACTTTTTAAAGAAGGATTTATGAAACAACTTGAGCTACGTGATGATGGAAAGTTAACATTAATATTGAAACCATATTTACTTAAACACATGCTTTCTCTTAACACAATTTCCCAAAAATTATAGCCACAATGTTTTCAGCCTTGGCATGAAATCTATCTCAACAAGAGAGTGACCAACTGCACTCCTGCTAACAGTTCTGAGCAGCCCCACCTCCCACCTACCCAAAAAGTATGACTTTTATCTGTGGAATTCTCTGCCGGTCTCGGCCTGGAAAACTGGGTGGGCCCTGAGGACAGATGGTAGCTCTGGCCCTGGGGAGGAGGCTCAGACTGAGCTACTGGCAGCATAAAGCTGTGATCTCTATAAACCTCAATTTGAGGCTTTATTAACCATGATTCCTTCCTCCCACGCCTTTTTTGAAGGGGAAAGACAAGGCAAACCAAAAGAATGAGTTTCAAAATAGAAAAATCACCACTTTACTTAAGAAACCCTCCAACTCAACAAAGAACTGTTAAAGGTAGCCAAATGGAGAATGTCAGGAAGGGGGTCAGGGCACAGGCACAACTATTAAACGTAAGAATCACAATTCTCAAGGTGAGGAGTAAAGAATAAAAGGCAGGAGCAGAAAAAGGGGAGCAGGACAGGGTCCAGCTGAAAAACCACTAGCTCAGAGGGCCCTCGGGACTGGCTCTCCCCTGTGGGGCATCCAGGCTGGAGAAAAGCAGAGGGTTACACAGAACACTTAGCAGACTTAACATTGGATTAACACACTACTGCAAGTTTCAACAAATGTTCATGGCATACGTAAAAACACATTTACAACAAGAAAGAAGAGAGGCACCTGGAGACATCTGACACTGGGCATGCTCTGCAGGCAACTCAGTGCGCACATGCTCTCTACCAGGCTGGCGCAGCCTAGCCACAAAGACCTTGGCACAGAACACTGCAGGATGACAAAAAGGAAGGAAGAGAAGAAGCAGTTAGAGGCCGCAACACATCACTCCTTCACGCAGGCAACTCGAATGTTAGTCGGGGCAGGGCACACTGTGGCCGGCAGGTCAGCCGCCCAGTGAGCCCGCGGGGGAGGGCTGCTTCCCAGGCCCACAGACAGCGCGTCCGCTGCCAACCACCAATTTCTCAGAATCTACTGAACAGAATCAAGAGGGGTGGGGAGAGAGCATGTTTAAATGAAACCCAATAATGGGAACTATGAGTCTGAGTAGGAAACAAGATTAGTGGAGAAACCATATGTATACTTTTATAAAATAAAATGACTTCTGGTCTGTTTCATATTATTACAATGTCCAGGACTGTTCGAGAACTTACATACCAGGCACTTAAAATGTGTTCCCTAATTCCCATACCACAGTGTAAAGAAACTGAGGCTCAGAGGACAAGGACACACAGCAAACAAGGGGAGAACCAAAGTTTCAAACTTTAGCTTGTCTTCTACCAAATTCCCCATTCTTCTACTGTTAAAACCCCGACCTTTTTAATAGAAATACAGTTTTGTACTTCCCTAAAATCTCAGGAGTCCTACAAAGTAAGGCAAAAGAAACAAGAAAGATGACAGATTGATAGGTACCGGCCAATAAAAGAGCTGATGACACATCTGATTTTCAGCAGCATCTACTTCTCTGCCTCTCAAAGGAGAAAAAAAATCTTCGGAATATTGTCATTTTTATTTTGGCCTTTGTGTACAAGTTTATTAACATAACTAAAAAATTATAAAATTTAATTTACTTTTTCCTTTTCCATCCTTTTGTTAACAGTTTGCTGCTTTTAAAAGAATTAAGACAAATACAAAAATTAGCATATGTATTATTATGGCTAGTACTGAATAATAATCAGACTACCTTTTCAGATCTAATTAACCTAATATTAACTTACTATGGAAAAGTAATTATGCAAAAAGGATGTGAAGTTCAACCGAGACCGTGAAAGCTCACAAATTTGCTTACACGAGCTTCCTCAGGTGCATCCATGTCCCAGACTAACTTTCATGCTCAGAGTAGAGGCTTGTGGAGGAAATCTTACGACCACCCCATCTTTAATATAAGTGGAGCACTGCTTAAAGTAGAAGACTGGGGCTCTGATCCAGAGTGTGCTGATTGTTCCTTTCAGCTTATCCATGAGATACAGAGGCCTGAGATTTTTTATTATTTATTGCTCTCTGTTGGCAATGGAAATGTCACATATTTGCAATCTTAACGTGATTCCAAAGTTTACTATCGCCTCTATGGTAGCAGTGTGTTTAATTCATTTTCCAAGCACAAATACTTTGCTGCCCCAACAGTTTTGTATAACAGAATGGCAAGTACAAGACACTAAGTTAATTTTGTACAGACACAATAAAAGTAGCTATTTTATTATCTGCCAGGTAGAAGCCACAGTAAACTCTCACAATAGTCTCAGAAAAATAAATGTTATTTCTTTTTACAGATAAAGAAACTGAGAATCAGGAAAAAGAGAGCTTGATCTGTTAAAACAGCAACCAGTCTAAGGTACATGGGAAAGAGGGCTCAATGAAGGCAGAATAAGGACTAGAAATTAATCTTGTCTGATTCCACTACAGCAAACTCATATACAGAGATAGTCTAGCATATACTTATTAAAAGAATACTTAATACCAATATGGATCAGAATCAGATACATTACATGTTTATATTATATAGCTTTAATTAAAAAAAAAAACTTCCAGCCAGGCACCAGTGGCATACACCTATAATCCTAGTTACTTTGGAAGCTGTTTCTGAGGATTGTGGTTCAAAGCAGGCCAGGAGGAAACTGTGAGACTCTTATCTCTAATTAACCACTGGAAAACCAGAAGTGGCTCGGTGGCTCAAGAGTGCTAGCCTTGAGCAAAAGCCACAAGCGCCATGCTGGACAAGTAGTAATAATAACAATAGCCTTCCAATATCTTTGTAGTTCAACTTAGAACTTTCTTCTGGATTATGTATGGTTATTTGAATCACAGAGTCACTTAAGATGCCATCATAGCTTTTAGCATTACACCTGCAAGCCAAGTATGGTACACACACACTCTGCCCATTACTGCTCTCACTGTCCAAGGCTGGCCCCAGCCAGAACAGTGAGACCCTCTCTGAAAATTAACTAAGCAAAAGGCCTGGAGGCATAGTTCAAATAGTAGAGCACATGCTAGTCAGGGGGTGTGGAAGGCTATTAGTGCAACGAATACCAAATCAACACCAAAACCCAGATGTAAATCAACTTTCATTTATTCAGTAAAAATAGTCAAGTTCACTATGGAAAGATGTAGGGGTGTGCACATACAAACTCTCTCTCTCACACACACACACACATACATGTACTCATACAGACACAGATACATATACACTTTCCTCAAAGAGTATTCTGGTAATAAGCTGGGCTCTAAACCTTTTGGTTGCTGTTAACAATGCCCTGTGTATGCTAAGAGTTACTCTACATTGATCTCTAGCCCTAAAACTATTTTTAGAGGCAACTTTTTACATTCAATTTATTTTTTAATTGTAAGAATACAAACGAAAGAGATTCTTAAAAAAAACTAAAACATTTAAACCTTCCACTCCTGGTTTTAGGTTAGAGATGAAAAGTTAAAGTCCAAAGAAGGAAAAAAAAATAATCTCCCTGAGGTTCTCTAGTGATCTAGAATTCAATATTTAACAAAAACATGGGGAAGGAGGAAACAAAGAAAGTTTTGTGAAAAAACATCAATTTCCAAACAGTTTTACAAAAGTTAGAATGTCCAGGTGAGGAGAAGGCTCTGGGACAGCACCCAGGCAGGGTCTTGCATGGGCAAAGCCAAGTGTTCTGCTACTGTGCTACAACTCAAACCTCTGCTTCCGTTTGTTTTTAAAAGCTTTTTATTGGGCTTGCATATTCATGCAAAGGTTTTTATGTCTGTGTGTATCTGCCAGTCCTGGGAACTGAACTCAGGTCTGGACCAAGGCTGGCATTCTACCACTAGAGCCACAGCTCCACCTCCAACTTTTTCTGTGGTTAATTGGATAAGAGTCTCATGGACTTTCCTGCCCAGGGTGGCTTTGAACCATGATCCTCAGAGCTCAGCCTTTTAAGTAGCTAGCATTACAGGTGTGAGCCACCAGCGCCCAACTAGGAAAAGATTTTTAAAGGATCCTCTGAGGATCTGATTTCCAAGATTTTATCTTTCTAATATCAATAGTAGATTCTGTGGGTATACATTTGTTTTTTGAGGATCTACTATGTGCTTCACCATAATAAAAACCATATAAAGGTAACAATACTTCACCTTTGCACAATAATACCAGACAATATGTATTCTTTTTTGGTCAGTTGTGTTGCTTGAACTCAGGGCCCGGGCTCTGTCCCTGAGCCTCTTTATGCTCCAGGCTAGTGCTCTACCACTTGAACCACCGTGCCACTTCCGGTTTATGAAGGGTTAATTGGAGATAAGAGTCTCAGGGGCACTTTTCTAACCTGGCTGGATTTGGACAGTGATCTTCAGATTTCAGTCTCCTGAGTAGCTAGGGTATAGGTGTGTGCCACCAGTCCCCAGCACAATATGTATTCGTTTCCTCCAAAACTCAGACAAAACACAGGTTTAAAAAGATGAAGTAATTTATTTTTCCAAAATCACATAGTACTGGGTTGAGGCTAGACTTGATTAAAATCCGGATCTGGGGCAAGTGTGGTTACTGGTTCCCTAGCACAGGCTAACTGCTTCAGAACAGGGTGTAGGGAAGACAGCTGCACCCGGGGCATCCCACATGCTGGAATTGTGGTGCTACGGCCAACAATTTTATGGGGTCTCAACTCTCTGATCACCCCAAAACCTAAGCTTATACCTTCAAGGCCACCTGGTAGGAGTAAAGACAGTGGTAATTTAAAGGTATTACAGCCAAGCACTAGTGGCACACCAGTAATCCTAGCTTTTAGGAGGCTGAGGTCTGAAGATTGCAGTTTGAAGCCAGCGTGGGCAGGAAAGTCAGTGAGACTCTCATCTCCAATTAAACACTAAAAAGAAAAGCTGGAAGTAGAGTTGTGGCTCAAGTGGTAGAGTGCTAACCTTGAGCAAAAATGCTCATGGACAGTGAGTGCCTGGCCCTCCAAGACTGGCACTAAAAGAACACACAAAACAGCAACAAAGATGTCATAAAGACCCTACTTTCACACTCAGTCTCTTTGGGGATAAGTGCTAACTACAATACTGAAAGGGAATCTTTACTCAGAATAAAATGTCATTCTAGGGAATATACCCATCTTTTAATAAATCTAAGCCAGGTTCTTTTTGCTCGACAGACCAGGAAGACATTGATCCAATTTGAAAATAGATAAAAATAAAACCTCTACAATCATCAACCTAAGAACATTTCAAATGCAGCCAGGACCAAAACAGTAACTGATTTTTTTTTTTTTTTTGGGGGGGGGGCAGGGTTAACTCAGTCTTGGGAGCTGTCCCTGAGTTTTTGTGCTCAAAGCTAGCACTCTTTATCACTTTGAGCTACAGCCCCACTTCTGGCTTTTAGGTGGTTAACTGGAGATAAAGTCTTATTGGGCATTGGTGGCTCATGCCTGTAATCCCAGCTACTCGAGAAGCTGAGATTTGAGGGTCATGGTTCAAAGCCAGACAGGGCAAGAAGATCCATGAGACTCTTATCTCCAATAAACCACTGAAAACCAGTAGTGGCGCTGTGGCCCAAATGGTAGAGCACTAGTTTTGAGCTGAAGAGCTTCCTGCCGGGGCTTGGCTTTGAATTGCAATCCTCAGATTTGGGCTCCCGAGTAGCTAGGATTTCAGGCATGAGCCACTTAACTGGAAACCCATGTTGATCATTCAGGAATACACGCTTAACTATCCTTCTTTACTTAAATAACGAAAGGGTGTCTTCATACTGGTCTTGTAATACTCACAATGTAAACTCTTGGCTGCTGTTAATGGAGTCTGAGTGCAGGGCTACA